GGTATCGTTTTTATAAAAAATACAGCGAGGGTAGGAAATTGAAGAAATCAAATTTTTTCTGTGCATGTAAATATGTTTATTTTTTTTAAATGGCTGAAGGAAGGCGGAAAGGAGTTACGAAAAAAACATGTTTTAAGAAATATAATTTTTATAGATTTATTTAAAATAAATCGAACATCAATTTTATAAAAATAAAACTTCTTAATTTTAAAATTACAATATTTACTTAAGATATAAATTAATATTAGCACATGTACACATTTACATTATTTTTACATCTCGTTCTCTCTGAAAAATATATTTTACAAAAATTTCTTACAATCTTTGACTAGGAGCGGAAAACTCGATTATTTAAGAAAGCTTAGGACGAGAAAATTTATTCCGGTGCATAACCGTACGGAACCGAATAACGGTTATTAATAAATCTACGTTTCAGCAATACCGGTGAGCATATCTTTGTTTCATTTCGCGTAACAATGTCGTGAAACGCTGTGCGTCAAATTGCACTGAAATGTAGATTTATCGATGGACCGGCTTCGTCTCGTCTTGTTCTTTCCTTTTCTATTAACATATTCTTAATACTACTAAAATTTATTAACCCGCTATTCGATGAATTTAAAGTAATACTTAATTTTACATGTTTCGTGTGTGCACCCCGACGGAGTACGAACAATGTACGCGTAGAATTTCGGACCACCGGAAACGAACGATTCGATGTAGCTACCGCGGCTGTAGCTCTCGAGCTCGTCTGTCATGTCGCCCAGGAAATTCCCCGCGGTTCATACTCATTCGGATCGCCGGACATATATACACGAATCCGTGTCGTAATATAAAACCCGTTTATTCAATAATTCTAAGTAACTGTACAATTTTAATCGTGCTTGCGCCGTTGTGTATGCCGCGATCACAACGTTCGTAAGCGGAGAATGCACGACCGCCTCTTTTCGGAATCGTCACGAAACATATATTACCTCGTCGTTACGGGTAATATACCGGTTATCTCGTGCTCAGGACTCGTAAGCAAAGTCATAAATTGCTGGTGAGATTTTATAATTTCGGTATTCGGCAAATTGGATCGTTGGCCGAATTTTCCCCAAAATGAATTTAAACAAAACTTAGCGACCGAACGTAAACCGGGATTGCGCGCGATGTTTCGCCTGTCGAGTGTGATACCCTCGGTTTTCTCATATTCCCGAAGGTAATGCTCCTTAGTATCATCGTTAGCGTCTTCCCTGCATTCGCTCGGCCAACCGCTCGCTTCTTGTTTTAATTGCAAAAAGGTATTAATATATTCGGCAAACAGTCCGCCTTGACGAGTATCGCTATCGTATCGCGCGACTTTATATTCCCAAATTTCGCTCACATGCGTCACGAGATAACCCTTCTCGACGGCTTTGCGTAATTCACAAGATACCCAGGTACCCTCGAATTCTCGATCCACCGGGTTCTCGTGAGTACATTCAACTTGTGAGAACGTTTTGCAGCAACTCCGACATAACGCAAACAATAATTTACCTTGTACGCGATACGGTAGTACCGGATGAAAGAGATCACGTGGTGGGAGTACTTTATATCGTACGAGACCTTCGACCGAGTTGAAATGATAATTTGGTGATACCCCGATTAACGAAGAACACTCTTGCCCTACGTAAATTTTAGGATGCCCGATCGGGAAAACGCCGGTTTTCAATACGAAAGGATACAGAGAACATACGTCGACGTAACGTATTTTTTCCGTACCTGAAACTTCGTATCGCGTGACGATATTTCCCGTGCGTCCACGCTTCGCGAGGATCGAGAGGAGTGTTCTTTATCAACGGATGATTCTTAAGAAAATTCTGCATTTCTCTATTATTCGAAATTTCTCGGTCGAAGGAGCACTCCCATTTCTCCATCACGTGGTAACCGCGTTTACAAAGGCGCCATGACATCGCAAGCGTCCGTTCATAGCGCGCGTCGATCGTATCCCCGCGATTCGCAGACGAAAGCGTACTATCGCGATTTACTTTAAAACACGAAGGGTACCCATGCCAGAAACAACCGTGAAATTGTAGCACCCAGCGTCGTGACCCATTTTCCGTTTTGTAATATCCATCAACGGACGTGCCATCGACTTTATATTCGCGGCCTCGCCCCGCGTGGATAATGGGATGTCCGAGTTCGCGTTCCATCCACACCAACCACTGCAGAGCTTTGTGCGATTGCCTGTCAACGTTTCTGTAACCGCCCGACGGAATGACTCCTATTTCCTCCTCACGCAAAAAGTTTTTACGAAAAACTCTCATGCATGTGGAAGCGATAGTCGTATATTCCTTAAACGGACACACGTTTCCACGTTCTAAAAATATTTTTCTAAAACTCATGCACGCTCGTCGAAGGATATCTACGTCGTTTCGACATCTGATAATTTCGCGTTGAAAGTCAAAAATATAATTTTCACGAACCATTTTCGCGTGCCATGCGTGGAACTTTTCGCGTTCTTCCGGCGACATGTGATCGGGAGAATAATATCTAGCATCGGTAATTGATTCTATATACGATTGGTTATCGATAGTATTAAATAAGTGCGGGAAACAGCCTTTATTTGACATATCGCTCAGACCAAAGGCCTTAGGTAAATCGGATAAATGCATCGGCATATAATTAATGCTATCGATAAACTTCGTATGTCCGACCGTCATTACGACAATTTTTGTTCCGTTCAAAATAACGCGCGGTTCATGGGTGCTCTTCAGATTTTCTACAAAATATTTTAAGATAAATTGCGCATCGAACGCTTTCGCATTATGCGCGATACAAATAATTTGTTTGAAACATTTTGTCGTTCGCGTTGCGAAATCGACAAATTGTTTCACGGGGTCGAGACGGAATACGAACTCGCGCATTCCGCACTATCGACATCGCATCGTCATGTCGTCTTCGTTTGCACACAAATTTGTTACGCTACGCAAAGAGTCGGTACATGAATTCTCACGTTTTCGGTACCTACGAGCGTCTCGTCTTGCCGCGTTTCAAAATCGTAAAATATAAACGCGACACGACCGTTTGTTTGCTCGTTCATCGCAACGTTATCATTTTCATTTTCACACGCCTTTTTTTCTGCTCGCATTATCAGGGTACTTGTACCCTCGCCGGGATCGCTAGCTTTACGAGCAAGAGGACGCATGAAACATAGATGATTCGACGGTTGTAACGAACGACATGTTTTACAAAAGACCGTGTCGCATTTATGTACCGTGTTTGCACGTATAAATCGCCCGCAATCGCTACAAATTTTAACGGAATTACATATGCTCACGCGAGATTTCCCGTTATATGATTTTTCCGCTCGGTGACGCTCGAAACAAGAATTACCGAAAAACGTCAGTTACACACTTCGCACCTAATTATTTCTCTATCACGATTTACGCACGGAGGTGAGACGCGACAACGAGGCATTTTTTGCGCAACGATGTCCCCTATCATTTCGAAAGACCTCGTTGCACGTTTCGCAATAACCGCCGCGCGAACCGCCTGCAGCTCTAATTAATAGGTATATGACGCGAATCCTCGTAATACATTATATT